TATATATATATATATATATATATATATATATATATATATATATATATATATATATATATATGTATATATATATTTATATAAATTTATAAAAACATATTTCATATTTTTAATATATTTTTTGTTATTATTTCTCTGTGGCATAATAGGGTACATGTTGTAGCTCAATTTATCAATATTTCTTTGAACCATAATCGTTGCGCATGTATCTACTGGGCGTCTCATCTTGTCATATTGTAATAATCCCTCCGGTAGATCTTTAAAATACAACACGTAAAATGATAAATCAAATAATTTCACATTTATTTATATCGATTAAACTATTTTAGTGTCAGTACGGACAACAACCATGGTGCAATCAACTCCAAGCATTAGTGAAGATAGTATTAAATACACTTGAAACGCAGCATCATCAGTGTAAGAGGATTCCGGCTACAGTGGTTATGGGTGCGCCACCTTCCAGATCTCGTGGTAAAATACTGAAAATTCTAAGATTTAAAGCTCCGAAATTAATTGTGATTTGACGTTTTAGACGTATCTCAACCCTCGCTTGGAGTAGAACATGACTTGACGACGAACGCTGTAGGGGAAATCGATACAGAGACTCCGCCAACGCGTCCACTATGGTGCCCAATACATCAACGTAGTCCCGGTGGAATACATGGACAAATGGAGACCCATTGGGAGGAAGATAATGGTCCAGCGTGTCGTTACTTCAACAAACATTTTATAACTAGGTCAGTAAATGTAGTGGTGCGACATTACGTCACATTTGAAATGATTTTTCACGTGCGGCGAGCACGAGTGATAAGAGATTACATATTCAATCCAGTAGTTAAAAATAGTGAAAAAATTCGTATTTGATATTTGTTTTTGAGTGTCATCAAAAATGTCACTCATATAGCAATGGAAATCTGTGGGATATATTGAAATTATTATGTATTTACAAAATATAGAGTCTGGTACAACGCACACGTTTTATCATGCACAAGTAAAATTCATCAAACTGAACGAGAAAGTCTTTTATTATTTTACAGGTCTGAATTTTCTAAATATTAATAATAAAAATTGAGAGAGAAAGAGAGAGAGAGAGAGAGAGAGAGAGAGAGAGAGAGAGAGAGAGAGAGAGAGA